ATCAGTCCAATGGCCAATGTAGACCAGAATCCTGTTCTCACAATGGCCAACCAGATGCCTGAGGGAAACCCGGAAGCAGGATTCGAACACAGGAGCACACTCCCCTCTTGTGGTTTCCAGCAATAGCCCTCTCCCCCGGAAATTTGTCTATTCCTCTTTTATTTATTATTATTCTCTTCTTATTACCGAGTTTCAGTATTACGAAAACGGTTCTGAAATTGCTGTGCCGAATACAAATCCAGTTGCTTGTAGGCCAAGAGAAAACAAAAGTAGGCAAGTTTAAACAACGGAAACCATAAGCAGTGTTGCAATAGGGCAGAAAGTGATTAAGTGCTTTACTTATGTTTTCTGAGACAGGTGGCTGCAAAAGGTAAATGTCAAAATATAAAGAGCAAAATATTATTTTTTTACAAAATAATCCTTACAGATTCTTGTATTTTAAAGCCACCCTTACTAGCGGTGATCACTGCCTCCTGTGGCAGTGAGTTCCATAGTTGAACTGGCATTCAGAGTATTCCAAATGTGATTAAACTACCGTATTTTTTGCCCCATAGGGCGCACCGGCCCATAGGGCGGACCTAGTTTTTTTTGGGGGGGGGAATAAAGGGGAAAAATTATTTCCCCCCCAGGCACGGGGCTGGGGCGGGGGATACCCGAGCATCCCCCGACCCCAGAACAGGCTGCTATCCGCAAGCCTAGGGAGCCCGGAGGGAAGTCGCGCCAGTCTCCCCAGGTTTGTGGATATCTGCCCGAAGCCTGGAGCGTGCTTCTCAGCGCGCCCTGGGCTTCGGGATGCAGGCAGCTCTCCGCAAGCCTGCAACTTTGCGCCGGGCTCCCACGGCTTGCGGAGGGCTTCCTTGCGGAGAGCTTCCGACCCCTCTCGCTCTCCAGGCTTCAGCGAAAGCCTGCATTCGCCCCATAGGACGCACACACATTTCCCCTTCATTTTTGGAGGGGAAAAAGTGGGTCCTATAGGGCGAAAAATACGGTAATTCATGGAGGATAATGTTAGCAGTGGCTGGTAGGCATGGTAGCTATGTCCTGCCTCCACTGTGCCCCACCCAGTATTGGCCACCACTGGCATGGTAACGCCACCCCACCTGGGAATCTGTTTAGGTTATGCCAGGGCTGAGGAACAAGCAGGTTTCAAGGACCGCCTCTCCCCCATATGAACCAACATGGACCCTGCAACCATCATCTGAGAGCCTTCTTCATGTGTCTCCTCCACGAGACGTCCAGAGAGTGGCAACGCGAGAACAGGGCCTTTTCTGTGATGGCTCCCCATTTGTGGCATGCTCTCCTCAGGGAGGCTTAGCTCGCGCCTTCATTACATAGGCGCCAGGCAAAAACATTCCTCTTCTCCCAGGCCTTTGCTTCACAAGCCAACCCATGGCCATTGAAAGAGGGCTTATTGTTTTTGATCATAGGATGCTGGCAGTAGTCATACCTCAGGTTACAGACGCTTCAGGTTGCGTTTCTTCGGGTTACGGACCCGCCAAAACCTGGAAGTACCGGAACGGGTTACTTCCGGGTTTCGGCGGTCACGCATGCGCAGAAGCACTGAATCGCAACCTGCGCAGACGCGCCGCTGCAGGTTGCGAACATGCATCCCGCACGGATCACGTTCGCAACCCGAGCATCCACTGTACAGTGGTACCTCGGGTTACATACACTTCAGGTTACAGACTCCACTAACCCAGAAATAGTACCTCGGGTTAAGAACTTTACCTCAGGATGAGAACAGAAATCGTGCGGCGGCAGCGGGAGGCCCCATTAGCTAAAGTGGTGCTTCAGGTTAAGAACAGTTTCAGGTTAAGAACGGATCTCCAGAACGAATTAAGTACTTAACCCGAGGTACCACTGTATAGAAATTTAATAAATGAACAAATAAACAGCGTCCACTATATAGAAATTTAATAAATGAACAAATAAACGTTAATGCCCATCAGCCCTTGCCAATGGCAAGGGATGATGAAAATTGTAGTTCATCATGTGGATGAGGCAAAGGCTACCGACCCTTGGATTATACAAGATCCCTGGTCCCTTGGATTATACAAGATCCCTGGACCCTTGGATTATACAAGATCCCTGGTCCCGACCTAAGGAAGGCGTTGACATGCCCCAGAAAAGAGTCTGCAGATTTGCTCCACATTTACATGCACTAGTAAATAGAGGCATTTGCAAAGTATAGAAATACTGCTAGCACATTTGCAAAGCTAAGCAGGGCCTGATATGGTTTCAAATTGGATGGGCGACAGCATGTTGAGATTCCTGCATTGCAGGGGGTTGGACTAGATGACCCTCGGGGTCCCTTCCAACTCAACGATTCTACTGTAATTTAAATAGAGAACACAAGACACTCTTCAGCATGTCTTTGCCTACAGGGTTATGCATACCATCAGAGAAAAGCATTTTCTGTTATAGCTGGCGATCTGCGTCAATTTTTTGTATTGTTCTTTATTGTGCTCTAATTGTCGCAAACCACGTCAATATTTTTAAAAATGAAATGGTGATATACAAATATATTTTATCAATCAATCTATGTTGTAGCAACGGGGAGATGCTCCACAGGTCGAACTGCCGGCCTACTCAGGCCTGTGGCCCGGGTGCGAAATGCCAGTGGGCAATTTTACAGCCAAACCTCACTCCTAAATTAATTGTAGGGATGTGAATTTCTGGAACATGTATGAATAAAGGGAGAAAGGCATTAATCCATTTAAATAGCAGGGGGAATTTGTGCCACGATAGATGTGGGATCTTAAAATGGCTTCTCTAAAATGATGGATTTGCACCAAAAAGTGTTGTGGGGAGGGGAGAGTGTTTGGGGAGATCTGTCAACACCATGGGTAGGCAAACTAAGGCCCAGAGCCCAGATCCGGCCCAATCACCTTCTAAATTTGGCCCACGGATGGTTCAGGAATCAGTGTGCTTTTACATGAGTAGAATGTGTCCTTTTATTTAAAATGCATCTCTGGGTTATTTGTGGGGCATAGGAATTCGTTCATTCCCCCCTCCCACAAAAAATAAATGTAGTCCGGCCCCCCACAAGGTCTGAGGGACAGTGGACCGGTCCCCTGATGGAAAAGTTTGCTGACCCCTGGTCAAGACCCTCATCAATTTCCAAGTGGTTTTTGGGAGAAAAGGTTTAGGGACCACTAACTTGGAAGACTTTTCTGATTAATCCCCACCTCCCCTCAAAAGACAATCCTCTTTGCCCTTTCGACACCTCAGATCTTTATTTTTAGGACCCATCTTATTCTGTGATTCGTAAGTTGCTTTAAAGTCTCACGGGCCAATAAGTGAGTGTTTCTGGCTGTTAACCAAAAGGTTGGTGGTTCGAGCCCACCTAAGGACGGCTTGGGGCAGAATTCCTGAGCGAGAAGACCCTTGCGATTCTATGATTCTAACTGTGTTTTATTTGTTATAATCCGCACTGGGACTCCCGACGCCTCTCACAGAGCCACAGTTCCCAGGGGGATTTAACAATCAGTTCTTCTCTACAGGGACCTCCAAGACTTGCAGCTCTGTAAGGAGAATTTGGGGTCTCCTAACAAATTTCAGCTAGATGCATTAATTTGCCTATTACTAAACGGTCATGACGACAATACGTTTTCACTAAGTTCAGTAACACATTTCAGTTAAGTGTACACATCAATTATGAGAGGCGTTTAGAGCTGCGCCCTCACAGAACTACAATTCCCAGACTGGTTTCACGGTCAGTCTTCACAGGGAACTCTGGGAATTGTAGCTCTCTGATGGGAACAGACGCTCTCCTAACAACTCTCTGCCACGAATTTGAAAAGTGGCATACATTAAATGTATGGTGTGGACTCCATTCAAACGAGGGGGAGCCCCACAAGAATCTCACCCAACAGCAGCTCTCTCATGTCCATTAGAATTCAATACAGTCAATACTGGCCACTCCAGAATTAACTCGGGGATTGTGCTGTGACTATAGTTCAACTGTCCTCCAACCTGGTGCCCTCAGATTACAACTTCCACCAGCCCCAACCAAGGAGCATGTAGTTCAAGAAAACCAGAGGGAAATCAGTTCAGCTACGAGTCATTCTGCACCCCTGGCTTTTCTGTCCTTTCTCTGCTGTGTGGATTCTTTGATGTTTAGTGACAATGGTCTTCCAAGAAAAGTTCAGGCTTTTATACGGTTTTTCCCTGGCATAGTGCTTTCTGTAATAATAATTTATTATTTGTACCCCGCCCATCTGGTTGGGTTTCCCCAGCCACTCTGGGCGGCTTCCACAAAGACCAAAAATACACTAAGATGTCATACATTAAAAACTTCCCTGAACAGGGCTGCCTTCAGATGTCTTCTGAATGTCAGGTAGTTGTTTATCTCTTTGACATCTGATGGGAGGGCGTTCCACAGGGCGGGCGCCACTACCGAGAAGGCCCTCTGCCTGGTTCCCTGTAGCTTTGCTTCTTGCAATGAGGGAACTGCCAGAAGGCCCTCAGCGCTGGACCTCAGTGTCCGGGCAGAACGATGGGGGTGGAGACGCTCCTTCAGGTATACTGGGCCGAGGCCGTGTAGGGCTTTAAAAGTCAACACGAACACTTTGAATTGTGCTCGGAAACGTACTGGGAGCCAATGTAGATCTTTCAAGACCGGTGTTATGTGGTCTCGGCGGCCGTCACCAGTCTAGCTGCCGCATTCTGGATTAGTTGTAGTCACCTTCAAAGGTAGCCCCACGTAGAGCGCATTGCAGTAGTCCAAGCGAGAGATAACTAGAGCATGCGCCACTCTCGCAAGACAGTCCACGGGCAGGGAGGGTCTCAGCCTGCGTACCAGGTGGAGCTGGTAGACAGCTGCCCTGGATACAGAATTGACCTGCGCCTCCATGGACAGCTGTGAGTCCAAAATGACTCCCAGGCTGCACACCTGGTCCTTCAGGGGCAGTTACCCCATTCAGGACCAGGGAGTCCTCCACACCTGCCCGCCTCCTGTCCCCCAGAAACAGTACTTCTGTCTTGTCAGTATTCAACCTCAATCCATTAGCCGCCATCCATCCTCCAACAGCCTCCAGGCACTCACACAGGACCTTCTCCACCTTCACTGGTTCTGATTTGAAACTCAGATCAGTTATCTCATTTCTCTCCTGAGTGAATTTGTGGATGAGAATTGAGGATGCGTTGCGTTGCCTAACCCAACAATTCAGGAATTTTTGTTTTCCTTTTCCGTGATGTGTAGTGAGGTTTATCTTGAAAGGGTACAGCAAGGGAGAGTAGGCCTTATCTTCAGCTGCAAAACCTAGGAGCTGAAGGAGTATCCCTAAGCTTCAGATTTGCTTCTAAAGATGGAAGAGAAACCCAGTCTCAAAGTCGCCAGCACCCCTAGCAATAGTGCATCCATCTTGGATTAAGATTCAGTACATTCACCAACAGCAATTCCAAAACAGACCTCAGGATTAGATGAAACAAATTCTGCATTCCTTAACAGTTCTGTGGTTTATCTGCTCTGTGGATTCTCTGATGTTTGGTGAGATTTGTCTTGTGTGTGAAGTTCTTACCACACTCTGAGCATGTATATGGTTTCTCCCCGCTGTGAATCCGTTGGTGGGAAGCGAGGTATTTGCTAGTACTGAACCTCTTTCCACACTCCAGACATTTGTACGGTTTCTCCCCTGTGTGGGTTCTCTGATGAGAAGTGAAGTCTGAACTCTGACGGAAGCTCTTTCCGCACTCTGAGCACTTAAATGGCTTCCCCCTCGTGTGGATTCGTTGGTGAGCCGTGAGGTATTTGTTGCTACTGAAGCTCTTCCCACATTCCAAACAATTATACGGTTTCTCCCCTGTGTGGAGAGTTTGGTGCGAAATCAGACTAGTGCTGAAAAAGAAACTCTTTCCACACTCTAAGCATTTAAAAGATTTTTCCCCTGTGTGGATTTTCTGATGTGAACTGTAGTTAGTTCTATGACTAAACCTCTTTCCACACTCCAAGCACACATACGGCTTCTCCCCTGTGTGGATTCTCTGATGTGAACGGAGGTTTCTGCGATCGCTAAACCGCTTTCCACACTCCAGACATTTATAGGGTTTCTCCCCCGTGTGGATAATTTGATGTGAAGTAAGGCTGGCGCTCGTACTGAAGCTCTTCCCACACTCCACACACTTATAGGGTTTCTCTCCTGTGTGAAGTTGTTGATGGTGAGTGAGGCTTGTGCTATGATTAAACCTCTTTCCGCACTCCAAACATTTATAGGGTTTCTCCCCTGTGTGGATTTTCTGGTGTGCAGTGAGGTTAGTCTGCTGGCTAAAACTTTTTCCACACCTCAAGCACGGATACGGTTTCTCCCCTGTGTGAGTTCGTTGATGGGTAGTGAGATTTATCTTCTGCCTGAAACTCTTTCCGCACTCCACACATTTAAAAGGTTTTTCTCCCGTGTGGACTCTTTGATGAGAAGTCAGGTACTTGCTGCTGCTGAAGCTCTTCCCACACTCCAAACACTTATATGGTTTTTCCCCTCTGTGAATATTTTGGTGGGCAACAAGGCCATCTCTCTTATTAAAACACTTCCCACACTCCAAACATTTAAACGGTTTCTCCCCTGTGTGGATTCTCTGATGTGAAGTGAGATACTTGCTGTTGCTGAAGCACTTCCCGCACTCCAAGCATTTGTATGGTTTCTCCCCTGTGTGGATTTTTTGATGTGAAGTAAGAGCATCTCTCCTGTTAAAGCTCTTTCCACATTCCAGGCATTTAAATGGTTTCTCTCCTGTGTGGATTCTCTGATGAATCGTGAGATATTTACAAGTGCTGAAACACTTTCCACACTCCAAGCATTTATAGGGCTTCTCCCCTGTGTGGATTCTGTGATGGGAAGTGAGGCTTGTGCTCTGACTGAAGCTCTGTCCGCACTCCATGCATTTATATGGTTTCTCACCCGTGTGGATTCTCTGGTGTTTTCTAAGGGTTGACTTATCGCTGAAGCTTTTGTTACAGTCCGAACATTTAAATGGCTTCTCCGCTGTGTGGATTTTCCAATGAGCAATGTGGCTCAATTTGCAGGTAAAGCTTTCCCCACACACAAGGCACTGGCTGCTTTCCTCTTTTTCGCCTATGTTTTCTTGGACTGGGATTTCAGAAATCTCAGCGCTCTGAAAAGCAGAGGATTCGCTTAGTGTGTGTTTCACTTCAGGTTTTGTTCTCTCTTCTTCTTCCTCCTCTTCACATCCGGTTCTGTCTAACAACACCCTGTGTGGTTCATCTTCATTATCCCTCTCTCCCCTGTCATGTCCTGGAAAAAGGAGAGACAATTAATTAGTAACAGCCCAAGTGGGAAATAAGAGTCTGATATCAAAGAAGGAGCACAGGGGTGGACAACCTTTTTCGTGGCAAGGGTCAGAACAGTGAGTACCTCTTTGTAATTTTGACAAATGACGGGGCCTTTTCGGTGGTGGCTCCCCAGTAGTGGAAATGCCCTCCCTAGTAAGGTGAGCCTGCCTCTATCATTATTATCTTTCAGGAGGAATCTGAAAACATTCTTGTTTTGCAAAACACCAAAGTATGGGACAGAGTGAGGGAGATATTTATGGAACTACAATGGGATATCTGCTCCGCCCAAGGCAACAGCAACAACCAGGAAAAGATGGACATGACATTTTACAGGGACAGGAAGAAACACCATGGACAGAATAACTGCCACACACAGGAAGAACAAGGATATAGTTTGAGTGCTTCACTTGTAGTTTTACAAATCATTTAAGGTGTCAATACGAATAAAAGCTATTAATATTGCAGTTGTTGTATAAGGGATTATTATTATGACCGGAATGTAATTGAAATTTATAAGTTTTTGGAACACAGAAAAAAAAAATCATCAAACGATTACAGTGGTACCTCGGGTTAAGTACTTACATTTGTTCCAGTGGTCCGTTCTTAACCTGAAACTGTTCTTAACCTGAAGCACCACTTTAGCTAATGGGGCCTCCTGCTGCTGCCGCGCCACCGGAGCACAATTTTTGTTCTCATCCTGAAGCAAAGTTCTTAACCTGAAGCACTATTTCTGGGTTAGCGGAGTCTGTAACCTGAAGCGTATGTAACCTGAAGCGTATGTAACCCAAGGTACCACTGTAATTCTAACACACCTTATCTAAATTACATAATTCGGTATTTGAACGATTTGGTATTAGTAATTGTATTATAAATTGGTATTGTTATAATGAGGCTATTATTGGATTATAATTGATAACTATTATTATCAAAAAAGAAAAGAAAAGATTCCTGTTCACCCAGGCATTTGGTGGCTGAAAAATACTGCTCCGGGCAACCTTGAGATCACTGAAGTAGGTTTTAATTGTATTCAGGCGGACCCTGAGGTAGCCTGGACCTAAGTGGTTTGGGGCTTTGCAAACTAATACAAGGACCTTAAAACCTGGTCGGGATCAGACGGGCATGTACAGGATTGCGCTGTTAAGTTGCTAAAATTCAGGCCAGCCTTCCCCAAACTGCAGGTGTTGTTAAGACTACAGCTCCCATCATCCTTGATCGCTGGCCATGCTAGCTAAGGATGATGGGGATTGTAGTCTGACAAGAGAAGTACTCAAGATTGAGGGGAGTTCGCTTTTAGGCAAACCTCTCCCCTCGCCCTTTTAGAATACAAAGGAGAAGCAAGGAGATTGAGGGAACATTCCTTCATATGTGGGCCACCTGTAAAAGGGTAAAAAAAGTATTGGGAAACAATCCACAATGAATTGGGGGGGGATGTTTAAAAGCACTTTTACCCCAAAAAACAGAGTCCTTTTTGTTGGGGATAATTCAGACGAAAATTCCCAGGTGTCAAAAAAGGTTATTTATGTATGCCACTACTCCGGCCTGTGTTTTGTTTGCCCAAAAATGGAAAACGAGCGAGGTCTCAACTAAAGCAGAATGGCAACATAAACTGATGGAATACGTGCAGCTTGCAGACTTAACATATAGAATAAGAGAACAAGAAGAACATACGTTTAGAGAAGATTTGAAAATGTTTACTGAATATAGGAGGGGAAATTGTGCACACCTGAAAACGTTGGCAGCATTAAGATAAATTCAAGAGTGTAAATAAGTTTTGATGGATGTAATAATGGAATACTGAATGGTACAGTTTCTGTAAAATATGCAGGGATTTATGATTAACAAAGTGAACCATGGAAAGAGAAGAAGGGAAGTCATTGTTATCCTAAGGTTGTTTAAATGAGTACGTATTCAAAATTGTAAAACAGAAAATTTTAATAAAAACTAGAATAGAATAGAATAGAATAGAATAGAATAGAATCTCTTATTCTTTCTTGAACACCATTCTCTAGGGTTGGGATTTCATAGAATCATAGAGTTGGAAGAGACCACAAGGGCCATCGAGTCCAACCCCCTGCCAAGCAGGAAACACCATCAGAGCACTCCTGACATATGGTTGTCAAGCCTCTGCTTAAAGACCTCCAAAGTAGGAGACTCCACCACACTCCTTGGCAGCAAATTCCACTGTCGAACAGCTCTTACTGTCAGGAAGTTCTTCCTAATGTTTAGGTGGAATCTTCTTTCTTGTAGTTTGGATCCATTGCTCCGTGTCCGCTTCTCTGGAGCAGCAGAAAACAACCTTTCTCCCTCCTCTATGTGACATCCTTTTATATATTTGAACATGGCTATCATATCACCCCTTAACCTCCTCTTCTCCAGGCTAAACATGCCCAGCTCCCTTAGTCGTTCCTCATAAGGCATCGTTTCCAGGCCTTTGACCATTCTGGTTGCCCTCCTCTGGACACGTTCCAGTTTGTCAGTGTCCTTCTTGAATTGTGGTGCCCAGAACTGGACACAGTACTCCAGGTGAGGTCTGACCAGAGCAGAATACAGTGGCACTATTACTTCCCTTGATCTAGATGCTATACTCCTATTGATGCAGCCCAGAATTGCATTGGCTTTTTTAGCTGCCGCGTCACAGGGAGCATCAGGGAGGGAGAATGTGATGTGAAACTAAGAGGATGAGGGGAAAAGACTAAGTGCAGGGGAAGGATTTGTGAGTAAGGAGGGGGAAGGTGGAAAGTCTGGAATTTATTATTATATTTAATATTATATTTAATCACCTCCCACATACAGGAAAAGATTGAGGCTGGAGATTAGGTCTTATGGGGGCAAGGGAAGGATTTGGGGGCAAGAAGCAAAAGAGTGCGGCTAATAATGAAAAATAATTTAATCTCCTTCCTTTCCCTGATCAAAAACAGGGCATGTCTGATGCTCTTATGTGTCCATATGAGACTGCAACCTTGGGGCACCCTCCAGCTTCTTCTAAAATCAAGGAAGGTGGTGAACATCCAACATCCAAGCCTGCCACCATCTGTTGTGGCTTTGACAAAGGCCTGCCAGCTTAAGAGATTCCTGGAAAGGAACCCCGGAAGCCCAGCCAGGCTGGAAGGCAAAGATGCAGGGTGACAAAATGTAATAATAATAATAATAATAATAGTAATAATAAATTTTATTTATATCCCACCCTCCCCAGCCAAGGCCGGGCTCAGGGCTGCTAACAAGCAATAATAAAAACAAGTTGAATGAATACAACTTAAAAACAAGATTAAAATACAACATTAAAACATTAAAATGCAGCCTCATCGCAGGAGGAGAAAGGAAAAAAGAAAGGGGGAGGGAATCAAATTGACTCCAAGCCAAAGGCCAGGTGGAACAACTTGTCTTACAGGCCCTGCGGAAAGAAATCAGATCCTGCAAGGCCCTGGTCTCATGAGGCAGAGCGTTCCACCAGGCCGGAGCCAGTGTTGAAAAGGCCCTGGCTCTGGTTGAAGCTAATCTAACTTCCTTAGGGCCTGGGACCTCTAGGGTGTTGCTATTTATGTAGCAAGGATACATACAAGAAAAGGGGAAAAAATAGTCTGTGATTATTGTTTTTCGCCATCAACCAAGGAGAAAGGGAGCTCTTACCCAGAAAGGCCACGATTCCAGGCTTCTCCTCCTCCAGGGCTTCCCTTGGGTCCGGATCCATCAGGGTATTCTAGGGGAAATGTACAGCCTCCACTTCAAAGGCACAGGATCCTGGAAGAGAAGGGGAAATATCCTCCAGTTAGTTATTATTTACAACTTGCCATCTCTTTTTCTGGGCAAGCCCCTTGATGTCATAGAATCATAAAACTGCACAGCTGGAAGAGATACCAAGAGTAATTTCGTCTAACCTCCTGCAATGCAGGAATCTCAGCTAAAGCAACTGAAATAAAAAAATTAAGGTCTTATATACATACTAAATGTTCATAAATGTACCAAGCAAGCACGTACATAGATATATAAACCACATGTCTGAAGCAGCACAGGAAAAAGCCCTGGATCCATTTTGGCTCCCAAACTGACCAAATTATTTCTCTGCAAGGTCAAGGAAAATGGAAAAGCCTCCCCATTGTCTTTTCCTTCACAAATCCTGTCTTAAGGGTATGTCTGTGTATGAATAGGGTGAGCCTGTGACCTGGCTCAGGAACTAAGTATTTATCGTTACAAAAGACTCGCCAGGCTCCCCAGGGTATCCAATCAAGTAAGCATTAACAGGTAAGCTGCCAGACAGGAGGTAAACAACGCACTCAGATTTCTGTTGTAGACCACCCTTTCTGTGATATCAGTATGATGTGTCTGGGGGGTGGTCTTGGGCTACACCCCTTTCTGTGATGTATGTATGATGTTTCTGGGGGTGGGCTTGGACTCCAGCGCTGGCAATTTAAAGTGTCTATATAAGGGAGGGAACACCTTTGTTCTGGGTCCTCCTCCTTTCCTGCAGGTGAGGAGAGCAACCTGTTGCAACAGTTCAGTAAAGATCAGGCTTACGAGCTGCTTTGCTTCTCCATATTCTCTGGTTGGCCTCTGTTCTTTTCTCTGACTGATGGAGAACCTGCAAACGACTCTATAAGGGTTCTTGTGTCCCCCATAAGGGAATAAGGGCAGATTTATGTTTACGTTTCTTACACATCCGTGACGGACGGAACCTCTGATTAAAAACCTCCAAGGAAGGAGAGTCCACAATTTCCCCACAGTTTCCCGGGGGAAAGCGTTCCACTGTCCAACAGCTCTTACCATCAGAAAGTTTTCCAAAATGTTGAGTTGGAATCCTGAAATACACTCAGAGTCGACAGCTCATAGTGGTGAGGAGGAATGGAAGTTCCCCCAGAATGTCTGCTTTATATACATTATTTACACAATGGGCCTCACGTGATTGGCTAATTCCAGGATTCACCTGTAGGCCAATCTGGTTGCGGATTCACTTCCACCTGGAGCTGGATTGGGTGGCTCCCGTGGACCAATCAGACTGCTGCATTCTGAATCCTATTGTTCTAGGACCTGCCTTTTGGATCCTATTCAACTCAGTACATAATAAATCCCCTTTCTTGTAACCTGAAGCCATTGGTTTGAATCCTGCCCTCCAGAGCAGGAGAAAATAAGCATGTTCCCTCTTCCACGTGACAGCCCTCCTAAGGCTAGGTTTCCAGACCCTTCATGCTTGGAGCTCAATCAATGCAAGATATATTAAGATATACTTTCTTGGGCTCCATGATCACTGCAGATGGCGACAGCAGTCACAAAATTAAAAGACACCTGCTTCTTGGAAGAAAAACAATGAAAACCTAGACAGCATCCTAAAAAGCTCACTGGAAGGACAGATCCTGAAGCTGAGGCTCCAAGACTTTGGCCACCTCATGAGAAGAGAAGACTCCCTGGAAAAGACCCTGATGTTGGGAAAGATGGAGGGCACAAGCATGAGTTTGACCAAACTGCGGGAGGCAGTGGAAGACAGGAGGGCCTGGCGTGCTCTGGTCCAGGGGGTCACGAAGAGGCGGACACGACTAAACGACTAAACAACAACAACAAAATTAAGGCACCGATGCCAGGCCAATCTAGTTGATATCCCTGCATTGCAGAGGGTTGGGGCCCCTTCCAACCCTCAATGCTATTATTTTAAGGCACCTGCTCTGCTCAACCCCTTGCCTCTTGCCCGTTTTCTCTCCAGTCACTGTCCAGCTACTCTGCGTCTCTGCAACCCGCCTCTCGCTTTTCTCCCTTGCATTTCCCCCCTCCCCATATTCTCTGTGGGTCTCCTTCACCCAAATCCAAGAGGAGGAGGGGGCTCACCAGATCCACACACCCCCCGGGTGGAAAGGACAAAGGCCACTTTCCCCAGGTGGAGGCGCACCACCTTCCAGGAACCGGCTTCCAGTTTGCAAAAAAAAATCTTCTCTTTGCGCTCCTTGCGCGCACCAAACCTCCGACTTCTCTCCAAGGTTCCCTTTGCAAAGCTGGAGGGGTGAAGTCTTTTGCTTTAGAGGACACGCTCCCCCCCCCTCTCCTTTCCCAATTTCCTTCCTCTCTAGGAATCGCTCTCCTCCGCTTCGCTTTAACCCTTCCTTCCTCAGCTTCTGCCTTCTGGAAGAAGGTACAGTACAGGGTTATAAAAGCCAGGACTGGCCGCCTGAGAAATAGTTTCTACGCAAATGCAATTCTGGTTCTAAACGCAGCATAAGGAGTCTCTATAGTATATTGTATTTTAAAATGGGGTTTCAGAGTTTTTAGGGGGTTTTGAATGTTTTATGTAGTTTTTCAATTTCATTGTTCTGTATGGGACAATGACAATAAAGATATCGGATATCGTCCAGGCAGCAGTCACGAAATTAAAAGATGCATGCTTCTTGGGAGAAAAGCAATGACAAACCTAGACAGCATCTTAAAAAGCAGAGATATCACCTTGCCAACAAAGGTCCGTATAGTTAAAGCTACGGTTTTCCCAGTAGTGATGTATGGAAGTGAGAGCTGGACCATAAAGAAGGCTGATCGCTGAAGAATTGATGCTTTTGAATTCTGGTGCTGGAGGAGACTATTGAGAGTCCCATGGACTGCAAGAAGATCAAACACATCCATTCTGAAGGAAATCAGCCCTGAGTGCTCACTAGAAGGACAGATCCTGAAGCTGAGGCTCCAATACTTTGGCCACCTCATGAGAAGAGAAGACTCCCTGGAAAAGACCCTGATGTTGGGAAAGATGGAGGGCACAAGGAGAAGGGGACAACAGAGGACGAGATGGTGGGACAGTGTTCTCGAACCATTGTATAAATGGTTTCTAGAAAAGAAGAACCGCGACTCTTGCAAATTCTGCCTCTCCCGGAGATGCGCAAAGGCCCGGTCTTGCGGCTGGCGCCACAACTTTGAGATTAATCTGGAGTGAGAGCCCTGAGTTGTAAACTCTAACTGAAAAGGCGGTCTGCAACAGAAATCTGAGTGCTTTGTTTAACTCCTGTCTGCCAGGTTATCTGATAATGCCTTATCTGATTGTCTTTCCTGGTAGTCTGCCCATTCCTTTGAGATGGTAATCACTTAATTCCTGAGACAATGGGAAGCTTCCCTCACCCTCTCCCTCCTTGCAGAGAAACATTTGGTCAGTTTGGGAGTCAAAATGGTCCATTTACTGTTTTGAATGCAATGGTTGTTGTTGTTTAGTTGTTTAGTCGTGTCCGACTCTTCGTGACCCCATGGACCAGAGCACGCCAGGCACTCCTGTATTCCACTGCCTCCCGCAGTTTGGTCAAACTCATGCTGGTAGCTTCGAGAACACTGTCCCACCATCTCGTCCTCTGTCGTCCCCTTCTCCTGGTGCCCTCCATCTTTCCCAACATCAGGGTCTTTTCCAGGGAGTCTTCTCTTCTCATGAGGTCGCCAAAGTATTGGAGCCTCAGCATCAGGATCTGTCCTTCCAGTGAACACTCAGGGCTGATTTCCTTCAGAATGGATGTGTTTGATCTTCTTGCAGTCTATGGGACTCTCAAGAATGGTATGCAATGGTACGTTACCATAAAACACTTTAAAGGATCCAATGGCATGTATCACTTAGAAATTTTCTTCTTTTCTAGAAACCATTTATACATTTTTTTTTATTTTGAGGAGGAGGAGTGGAATTGCATTTGGAAATTGAACAATCAATTAATCCTTTTTCTAGAGTGTTAATAACAGGATTGTCACAAGACATCTTTGTGGCTTTGCAGGGCAAGGGATCCCCCTCATTCCAACAGTCTTTGCTTCAGGAAGGAATCTGACAGAAGAAGGAAGCGATCCTACAGCTCAGTCAGATCCACTTCCAGGAGGCCAAGGGACCCCAAGCTGAGGGACCTCAGGAGGTTTGCAGCCGACTCCACCATCTCTGCCGTCAGTGGCTGAAGCTGGGGAGACACACCAAGGCTCAGATCCTGGATTTAGTGATCCTGGAGCAGTTCCTGGCTGTCCTCCCTGCGGAGACAGAGAGCTGGGTGAGGGAATGTGGAGCAGAGACCAGTTCCCAGGCGGCGGCCCTGGCTGAAGGTTTCCTCCTGAACCAGGCAGAGGACGAGAACCTGGTGAGAAAATTTAGAATTGTAGAGTTGAAAGGGACCCAAGGGTCATCTAGTCCACCCCCTGCAATGCAGGAATCTCAACACATGGTCCCCCATCCAATTTGAAACCATACTGGACCCTGCTTAGCTTTGCAAATGTGTCGACAGTTTCGAAGCCGTATCTGTAAAAAAGGTAAACATGAAAAGAAATTGGGCGACATACAAAGATCTGTTAACAGAAGTAGAATACAAATTGATGGTGAAAGAATATGAGGATATAACAGCTCTGTTAACAGATTGGGAAGGATTTCTAAAGGTTTGAAAAGGAGTTATTAGAAAATAATGAGAAATTGTTATCAAGAATGTACAAACTACTGTTGGAATGGGAGACGAAGATGAAGAGGTTAAAGCTGTAATGATACACTTGGCAAAAGATATAATATACCAGGTGAATCATGGGAAAAACTGTGGAAAGAGATTTTAAAATTCACAGCATGCAGTTCATTAAAAGAAAATTCTATTAAGATGATGTACCAATGGTATTTTAGTCCAGTAAAGCTTGCTAAAATGTATAAAGATACCTTAATTTATACTGGAAATGTAAGGATAAGGAAGGTAATTTTTTTCCCTATGTGGTGGACGTGTAAAAAAGTAAAGGGCTTCTGGGAAATGATATACAATGAACTTAAAAAAATTATTAAAATTACGTTTGTTGAAAAAAACCCAGAGGCTTTTTTACTAGGTGTAATAGGAGAAGAATTGCCAAGGAAGCAAAAGAGACTGTTTATTTATGCCACTACAGCAGCCAGAATGCTACTAGCCCAGATGTGGAAAGAAGGAAAGGTACCAACGAAAGAAGAATGGATAACTAAGATGACTGACTCTGGCGAAATGGCTAAACTTTCCGTGAAGATCAGGCAGCAAGATGAGAAAAAAATCAATCAAGAATGGGAAAACTTTATAGACTATTTTACAGAACACTGCAAAAACGTCAAAACATTAGCAGGTTTTCATGGAACTTTGAAGTGTCAGGCATAGCCCTATTGGCTTTAGCCCAAACGTAGCAGAGTTTTCCTGCACAGCGAAGAAGCTAGTTGCGGCGGTAATGACTAGTCAGCTAGACTCAGAATAACTATTTACAGGATTTATTAAAAAGGAAAAAATAAAACCAGCAGAGTTTCTGCATACAAATAAAAGCAAAATAAATCCTCTCTTTCTCTCTCTCTCAAAACCATACACAGCACTTCTACTCCTAACACACCTCACATCACACTGTGCTAGCAATCCCTAGATAACAGGGTTGAGTGCTGGTCGTTAACCAATCAGAGTACAGTGGTACCCCGCAAGACGAATGCCTCGCAAGACGGAAAACCCGCAAGACGAAAGGGTTTTCTGTTTTGGAGGCGCTTCGCAAGACGAATTTCCCTATGGGCTTGCATCGCAAGACGAAAGCCCATAGGGAAATGCTGGCAGTCGGGAGCAAAGACTTTTGCCCACAGCCGGCCTTCAGAAGAGGACCTCTTCTGAAGGCCGGCGGGGGGCAAAAGTCTTTGCTCCCCCCGCCTGCCTTCCCCCCGCCTGCCTTCCCCCCGCCTGCCTTCCCCCGCCTGCCTTCCCCCCGCCTGCCCCGGGCGATCTTAAAATGCTGGCAGGCGGGAGCGAAGCGTTCGCTGCCGACCCCCAGCATTTTAAAATCTCCCCGTGTCCCGGGAAGGTTTTAAAATGCTGGGGGTCGGGAGCGAAGCGCTGCCGACCCCCAGCATTTTAAAATCTCCCCGTGTCCCGGGAAGGTTTTAAAATGCTGGGGGTCGGGAGCGAAGCGCTGCCGACCCGCAGCATTTTAAAATCTCCCCGTGTCCCGGGAAGGTTTTAAAATGCTGGGGGTCGGGAGCGAAGCGCTGCCGACCCGCAGCATTTTAAAATCTCCCCGTGTCCCGGGAAGGTTTTAAAATGCTGGGGGTCGGGAGCGAAGCGCTGCCGACCCGCAGCATTTTAAAATCTCCCCGTGTCCCGGGAAGGTTTTAAAATGCTGGGGGTCGGGAGCGAAGCGCTGCCGACCCGCAGCATTTTAAAATCTCCCCGTGTCCCGGGAAGGTTTTAAAATGCTGGGGGTCGGGAGCGAAGCGCTGCCGACCCCCAGCATTTTAAAATCTCCCCGTGTCCCGGGAAGGTTTTAAAATGCTGGGGGTCGGGAGCGAAGCGCTGCCGACCCCCAGCATTTTAAAATCTCCCCGTGTCCCGGGAAGGTTTTAAAATGCTGGGGGTCGGGAGCGAAGCGCTGCCGACCCCCAGCATTTTAAAATCTCCCCGTGTCCCGGGAAGGTTTTAAAATGCTGGGGGTCGGGAATGAAGCGCTGCCGACCCCCAGCATTTTAAAATCTCCCCGTGTCCAGGGAAGGTTTTAAAATGCTGGGGGTCGGGAGCGAAGCGCTGCCGACCCCCAGCATTTTAAAACGCTGTTCCGAAGGGGGGGGGCGGGAAGACCTGCCCCAGCCGCCCCACTTCGGAACGCTGTTCCGAAGCGGGGCGGGGGGCGGGAACACCTTCTGAAGGCGGGCAGGGGGCAAAAGTCTTTGTCCCCTCTGCCTGCCTTCCCAGGGGCTTTTAAATCGCCCCGGACAGCGGAGAAGTCCCGCCCGCCAGCATTTTAAGATCGGCCCCTGCTTGGGGGAGATGCCGGCAAGCCTTGCGCGCAAGGCTTGGGGCGGCAGCCTGCATCCCGAAGCAGGGGGTGAGCTGCGGAGCCCGCTCCCTGCTTGGGGGAGATGCCGGCAAGCCTTGCGGGCAAGGCTTGGGGCGGCAGCCTGCATCCCGAAGCAGGGGGTGAGCTGCGGAGCCCGCCCCCTGCTTGGGGGAGATGCCGGCAAGCCTTGCGCGCAAGGCTTGGGGCGGCAGCCTGCATCCCGAAGCAGGGGGTGAGCTGCGGAGCCCGCCCCCTGATTGGGGGAGATGCCGGCAAGCCTTGCG